AACACAGGTGGGCATTGGATATATATATATATATATATTATGTATTATATTAGTATATTATAATAATATATATAGTCCCGCAGTGGACTGATCGTTAAGACACGGTTCCCAGCAGATCAAGCGTCACTGGCTGTGGACAATGTGCGGATGGGTGGCCACTTGGATCAGTCTGCGTAGGGACCGGAGGTAGGCGGCATTGGTCCTCGTTAAATTGTTCAACCGTAAAGTGCTCGACTTCGCGTGCAGGTTGCCGGGCTACCGAAGCGGTGGTGCTCTCTTCTCTGCAAAGGATCAAAATTGTGATGGCATGTCTTTGGATCATCCTCAGGGATGTTTCCCAGACGGTCGCCGATAGCCCATTGTGCGGGTCTAGTGCGACGTAAATGAACAACAACAACAACATATATATATAAACATCCCTGGACAAATTATTAGACGCACTAGAAGATTCTATGTAAAATCTTAGTTATCAGGTGATACTATACAACCTTATTGTTTTTACCCGACTGAAACCGGTTTGCACTTGTTTACGTTCATGTATCAATCATGCATCATGTATCATGTATTCAATTAAATTAGACGATATATTATATAAATATAGAATATTTAGTATATCAAGTATTATATTAGTATATCATAATAATTTGATCAAATTATTAGACACACTGTAGTTTTTCAATGATTACATGTTTTGCACAAGTTAACATGCAATACTTTTATATTTAAACATATATATATGTAATGAGCTAAATTCACATGTACGAAAGCAAATGCTTTGTGAATTTGTACAAACTAGCACACTGCTTCCGACGTGCAAACATTTCTCGTAAAAATGTCTGAAGAACTCAGGAAAATAAATAAACATTTATTAACCTGTTTTTAACTGGGTTTGTCCAAAAAGTAGTGTCACTGAGACGAGTAAATATATATTGTAAGAAGAGGAGAGTAAGAGTAAGAAAATATATATTGATACGATTGGTACAAAACATTAAAAAGACTTAAAATATGTTTCACTCTTGAACTTTTATAAATAATTTCCATCGAGATTCATAGGCATATAAGGCGTCATGGAAGATTTTTTATAGACAGAATATCTTTCTTTAGAGTATTGATGTAAGCCACTTGAATTTGTCAATTGTCCCAAAATGATGTCTTTTATGGGCAATGATGTCAAAATGATGTCTGGCAGCGTCAGAGCAATCGGTCAGAAAAATTGGTCACGTCGGAGCAATCGGTCAGAAAGTGGATAGTGAAGAAGTCGGAATGGCATAGACTCATTGTCATGGTAAAGGTTGCATATGTCTGTGATGTCTGGCCGCAACTATTTGGAATGATAATTACCTTTACACTTAAACAAAAGCCCAAATGATGGTCTGAGTACAAGAACTCAGTCACGTGCGTCACGTTTTCGGTAAGGGTGGTCGATGACTCTCATCGCTGACAACTTCATGGCCATCAGTGCATGTTATGTGACACGGGTAAAATGATCATTCTGATAACAAACCGCCACGAAAGACCACTGCGTGCTAGTCAAGTTTCGAGCTAAACTTGATGGCCATTAAATCGTGCGCAGAATGTTGTTTCACGTGGAAGACTAAAATAAGTTTCACTAAAAAGCCTGTCTGTATTACCAGGATAGTAAAATGTGACTGAGGGACCACGTAAGTGTAAACAGAGTAACCTCGTTACCAATTACGTCTGCGATTGCGCTTGAACTCGTATAAGCTTTTGAATAAAACCTGTGACATTACTTTTGGACTCCCCCTGCATTTCATATGATCTCGATTTTACAATATTGATTTTATGTATGAAGTGAATAAATCGATCCTGACAAATCACGTAAGTATCTCAGAGACAATTATTTAAAAATGCTACTTTTGTCTGCCAAAACAAAATTCTAAATGATAATGGTGATAACTTAAATATACTAACAGTAATTCTTTGCATGCTGAAATGCTTGGCTTATTCAGACTCTATAATTTCTAAAAAATGGCAAAAGGTAGGTGTATATTTAAGTTCTTAAATAATAATAAAAATTCAATCAAAAACGTAACAGGAAACTCATTTTATTAGGTTATTAATCATGTTTTATTAGGAAATGCTAGAAAATTAAATTAATTAATTTAAATATTGTATTGTCTTGTTTTACTAAACTTGATTTGTCAAATTCGATGAACACTAACAATCGTTAGTTCCATATTTTAACCAGCTAGCCAACCGGCCTGTGTAGGGGGCAGGGAACTGTCCTTGCATCAGAAAGGTTCTGGGTTCGAATCCCGGGCAAGGCATGGATGTTCCTTCCTTCTCTGCACTATCTGTCCTCGCTGTGGGAGTGACGTTGGCCCACCTAATATTTTACCCCTGAAAGAGAGGCCAACAAAATCGCCCTGTATATGCCTGAATTGACGGATGTTAACACAGGTGGGCATTGGAAAAAAAATATTTTAATCAGCTTTGCACATATTACTCATAAGCAGCTGTTTTTTGCTTGTTTGTTTTTTTAAACTTCACATAGAGTCCAAATATATTTCCAGTAACCGAAGCGTACCATACTATTACACTGCTAAAAATTTTGGAGAGCATTTAACCACAAAATCTTGCAGATTTAATACATCCTCAATAAAGTGTGATTCAAACCACATTATCTTGAAAATTAAACCTTTATTACATGATACAATTGCTCAGTTTGAACAGAAACATAGTCCATTTCAACACTTTATTAAGTTTGCAGAAAATTTCGCTGTATATCATGGTTTAGGGTACCAATATTATGGTTCAACGATGAACTAATTTTTTTTTGAGTATGTAAAGATGATAAATATAACTTAAATGTCATGAAGAAGAAGAAAATATGTCATGAAGAAAAATATAACTTACTTATTTGCCATTCATGAGTCTGCTCAGTAACTTCCTATAAGCCTGTAGACCTTATGCCTTCCTATAAGCCTTAGTAACTTCCTATAAGCCTGTCGAAATCTTAATGAAAACGAGTCTTTTTAAAAAAAAAAATTTCAAGGACTACTTTTAAATAACTTTCTCACTTTCTCGGGCCAAGCCTTTCAGCTCCGCAGAATTAAAAAATAATTTATAAATAAATGAAATAAAACTCAAAATAAAACCCGAATGAAAAACGTGAAAGATAATATTTTGAAAACACTCGCATATTTAAAGTTTAAAGAAGATATTATCTTTATCTGTAAATATGTAACAACTTTATCAACTATTTAAATAAAGCGTTTTTCAAATAAGGAAAAAATAGCTTATTTCTTATGTTTCCATACTATCCGAAGTTCATTTTGTCAAATTCACTTAATATTTTCTTCTACTAAGCTCTCCAAAAACCACAGTACATACAAAAAACTATAAGTTCAGATAATGTATAAATCATATATCAGAAAATACACTTTAAGAATTTCCATCAATTAAACTTCTTATTAGTTCTTATTATGATATTCCTGAAGTTTGCTGAAAGTAAGTAAGTCTTTTTCTTTCTTAATCTTATAGTCGTGCAGTCTTGGAAATCCATGAAAGCAGTGGCATGGGAGATCTTGGCTCTCCCAAGTGGCAACTGGTCGTCTGTGTTATGGTAGCATTCGTTATCCTCTACATAGCCCTCTTCAGAGGTGTGAAGTCTCTTGGAAAAGTAAGTTAAGCATCATCATATTGATTAGAAATAACTTGAGATCCTTTTAGATTGACATTTTCTTTACATTTAGCCTAGACATAAGTACAAGAGTATAATATAATACGTTGTTGAGAAATAATGATCTACTCAAATAATTTTCATTATCATTAGATATGACTTGAAGACGACATTTCAGATAACAATATTCTCTTTTCCTTAGATAAGATGGCATAATTAAATACTTAGTTTCGAAATAATGATCAATCTTAATTATTCTTGTAATCATTAAATGTAACTTGAAGACATATCAGGAAACCGTTTTCTGTTTATTTTAGGTATAATTTAATTATTTGTTTCAAAATAATGATCTATCTAAATAATTTTCATAATCATTAAATGTAACTTGAAGGCATTTCAGATAACCATTTTCTGTTTATTTTAGGTATAATTTAATACTTTGTTTCAAAATAATGATGTATCTAAATAATTTTCATAATCATTATATGTAACTTGAAGGAATTTCAGATAGCCATTTTCTGTTTATTTTAGGTATAATTTAATACTTTGTTACAAAATAATGATCTATCGAAGTAATTTTCATAATCATTAGATATAACTTAAAGACATTACAGAGAGCCATGTTATGTTTATCTTAGGTATACATATGATGTTATAATTTAATACTTTGCTTCGAAATAATGGTTTATCAAAATAATTTTGATAATCGTTAAATGTAACTTAAAGACGTTTCAGATAGCCATTGTCTGTTTATTTTACGTATAATTTAATACTTTTTTTCGAAATAATGATTTATCTATATAATTTTCTTAATCATTTGATATAACTCGAAGGCATTTCAGATAGTCATGCTCTTATGAATATATATGATGTTATAATTTAATACTTTGCTTCGAAAATAATAATAATATAAATATAACTTCGTTAAATATAACTTGACATTTCAGATTGTCCTGTTCTCTCTACCTTAGTCATGGACAGAATGGTATTTAGTACTTTGTTTAGAAATAAAGTGTTAGTGACGCAAATAGCAAGTATCACGATAGAAATTAACTAGATAAACTTAATTTTACTGTTAGATCACCAAAAAAAATTTTAAAAATTCAAATTAAGTTTCTTTTAAGCAAAGCGGAAAATAAAAATTATAAAAGATGCATAAGTAAAAGATGAAGGTAAATTAATCTGTGAATCTTCACTTAAATTACAAAAGTTAATCCTAAAATAATAATAATATAATTTTTGCAATATTCTGTGTAATTTTGAGTTCTTGCATATATTCGTATCTTTTATAGGTTGTGTGGTTTACTGCTATTGCTCCATACGTAATTTTAACAATATTACTGATTCGTGGTTTATTATTACCCGGAGCGACAGAAGGCGTGCAGTACTATCTTCGTCCAGATCTTCACAAACTGTTAGACACTCAGGTAAAATGAAATTGTATGTATGTATATGTAAAGACTTGAGTGAATGATGGTCTCTTAAGTGACATTTTAGAGAATCTAAAAAAACAAGCTTTAGCTTACCTTTATTTCTTGTCGACAATCTTCCGACTTGAAGAATCTATAAATCACTAACATTAACTTAAATCGTAAGAGCCATTACTTTCGCATTCTTGGCGTTTTAATTTGCAGTCATAAGATTGGTTTTCTATAGTTACTCGTCGTGTTTTCGTTGCAAATATGCTCTGGAAATTAACATTAACTTAAATTGTCAGAACCACTACTTTTGCATTCTTGGCGTTTTAATTTGCAGTCATAAGATTGGTTTTCTACAGTTACTCGCCGTGTTTTCGTTGCAAATATGCTCTGGAAATTAACATTAACTTAAATTGTAAGAACCACTACTTTCGCATTTTTGGCGTTTTAATTTGCAGTCATAAGATTGGTTTACTATAGTTACTCGTCATGTTTTCGTAGCAAATATGCTATCAAAATTTTCTTCCACTTCAAAAACAGTCCAATACTATCACTTAGTACCTTCATTCCATGAAATATTGATAATTTTATGATTGGCTCCATAGTTAAATAAGTCTAAAATATGACCTTTTCCCGAAAAATTTCTTTTTTTTTTCCTAAAAGTTTTTTCACTAAATTCTTTATTTATGAAAAGATTTAGATGTCTGAAATCAGACTGGGTTAAATTAGCTCCAAGCAAGGGTTACTTTTCCCACATATTTTAAAACATTCTTCTTTTATCTATCAATGACCATTAAAACTTTAAATGCATTATTAATTTGCTAAAAACATGCACCTGTGCAATAATAATATTATGAAAGCCCTATCACTAATGTTTCCTATTTCATTAGCCTAAATTTCATAAAAATAATAAAGCAAAACTGGCCAAAGTAGCCCTAAATTAAGACAGTCGTTGGATTTAATTGAAATTTCAGAACCATAATCTTTTGGCTACAATCTAAGCTTTCAATAGATTCAAAGCATTTCTTAAAGATGTAAATTTTAAAAAAAATTAAAAATTCATTCAGAAAAAAGTCGAAACTGGGAAAAATTTCAAAAGTGGTGAAAGCGTTTCATTAGGCTATTGGAAATTTTTAACCTTTTTATTTCACTTTAATTTTAGGAATTATGTTGGGTAGTTATAACATAAAAATAAAATGTTATTTGGTTAATAGGAAATAGAGAAACAAAAACATTTTTTTTATTCATATTACAACTTTTGATGCTGAAGAAGAATGTCTGTTAAGTTAATTAATTGTCTTTAAACATAGACCAATAACACAGCTGAAGAAGTTGAAAAAACTCACAAAATCCAAACAAAAGACGCTTCCTCGCATTTGAAAACATCTAAAAGCTTTTGCTAATTCACTGCAATTTTCTAATTTCTAACCACTTCAAATAATATTTCAAAGCAGTTTTCTTTCTTCTTTTTTTTTTTAGCATTTTCTTATTTTTGCAATTTACATTAATTTCAAACTTTAAATAAGAAAATTACAAAAATTTTAATAAAAATTAGTAAAAAAATAATAAAGTAGTGTAATAAAAATTACATTTCAATTACTCTAACTATACATGTTTTAATACAATTATCTACTTTATGAAATACAGAGAAAGAAATGATGTTTTGCATTGCAAATCTTGTTTAATTACAGAGGAATATCTTTTTTCTTAGGAGCATTTTTCTATTATTTGACGGATATATTTAGAAATTTTTTAAGCCATCAAACTATAGACATCTCTATTAACTGTAGGCGTAACGGATTATCAAGGAAATTCACAATAGAAGCTTTGAAGCGTGTCGAACTATAATGTTATTCCAATTTGTTATAGCCTTTATATGGGAACGTGGTAGCTCAGGGGATAGAGCACTTGCCTCCCAATGAGGTGATCCAGATTCGAATTCCAGAAGTGGTTGGTTAATACAAATTCTGCCCATAACTAGTAACGACCACAGTGCTGACGTAAAAATATCCTCAGTGGTAGACAGATCATGGGTTAGAAACCCCTGGCCGTCGGACTAACTATGGGAGGTTTCGTCCTTTTCCTCTCTATGTAGCGAAAATGCGGTTCCATCGAAAAGTCCGCCATGAAGCTAGTATTTTCCAAATACTTGATCCAGGAGTTCTCTTGTCATCTGAGTTGCGTTTAAAATTACAAGTCAATGGAGTTGAACATTGATAGTCATAAACTCAGAACTGGATCGCCTGTTAGACGCCAGTAATAAAATAAAATAAATTAACGTTTATAAAGTTCTATGATGAAGCATATTATAGTACTTCCTAGATTTGAGATTACACCGTACTATGGTTTAACTAAAACGAAAATATGGTTAAACTAACCACCTTAATATGGTTGTTGCAAATGAGCATAATATTATAGTTCTGTATTAAATCGACCTTAAGAATAAAAGAACAGCAGTTAACCAATAAAATAGCAGGTTTTTAAATGTGACTTACTTAAATTTTCGAAAAAATTAAGAATTATAGAGAGGACAAAAACCTTTGAATAATTTCGTTTATTAATGTAAATCTAAAAATATATATATAATTCTCAATGAAATATATATGCACGATATATATTTTGTCTCTAAGGTTTTTACATTTCTTTCTATATGAGCAAAAAAAAATCAAAATAATTATTTAGCTTTCTCCATAGTAACAGCATTTTAATAAATGTGAAAGATTTTGTATTACAGAAATTTTTGTACCTGAAATATTCTTTCACAAAAAAATATTTTCTTTGCCGAAACTCAAATATATATCGAAGCGCTTTTTATTAAATTTCTCGTTCAGCGCAGTTGGTTGCAACACTTGTAATGTTTTATTTATATTCTCGGCAGCTAAGAGAACGAACGAGCAGGTTTTCGCTCTCTAGCTATTTACATATTCTCTGTGTTTCATTTATCTTTTTTACATTTTTTCAATTTATGTTCGTTTTATATTTTAGGGTGTTGTCTGTACATGTGTGGGCATAAATAAATTTCAATTGAAACCGTTTTAAAAGGCTTAGCTTCAAAGAGAATATGAGCATATGGTTTGTGAGTTACAAAAACAGCATTTAAATGATCTAACAAATATTCTATGCGTTAAATGTCTTCAATTCTTTTTACATATCAAGAACTCTTTAAAATTATGTTTCTTCTTACCGCATACTATTATTAAAGTAGAAAATAAAAAGAGAGTAATTTAAATTGAGGAAAAAATTTAAATGATTACCGTACTGTATAATTATATTTCTGGTAAAAAAAGAGAAAAAAAAAACATACTTCTACCTAATAAAACCAAAACATACGGTATTTAAACCCTTTATTCCATAATTTTTCAGATTATATTGTAAGAATTTACCAGACATTCTAGTTTTTAAAATTATAGTTCTTATTATCACTCATTTATACAAAACTCAAAAGTAAATTTAATCAAATAAATGGTTTTTATGCCATGCTCTTAGGTATCATGATAAAATTACCAAAACTTTACGACTTTCACCGAATTTTATCACATGTTATAAAACCATATGCCATTGTTAATTTTACCAAAATCATTGCAAAAGTGCTTCGGTTAGAATTATCGAGCTTTTTAGTGCTTCCATAGAACCAGAAGCACTGTAAATTTTAGCATATTCTGGTAGTCTTGACCATACGTTTTTTCTCAATTGTTCATAGCAATTTGATTGAAAGATTATTGAAGTTTTACAATGATAAGCAAGTGTAAATTTTGTTTATGTTTATAAACAAAATAATTTTTTTAGATAAAAGTAAACATTAATATTTTAATTTCAGTGCCAGCAAAAGTAAAACAATAAATATTTACTCTTGTAAAAAGATTCTTTTAGTGTCGAATTTTCTTATGATTTATTTTTGTCATTGCTGCATATTTTTTTAAAAAAAATAATTTCGGGCACCGTTTGTTCTAAATTGGATATTTAACCAAAAATTAAAACAATTAAAAAAAGGAACAAAAAAGGAGCGAAATTTCTTTTAATTTTAATAATTAAAAGTTTTTTTTAATGTTTCTGTACTTTCTCAATATTTTTTATGAGTTTTGATACGGAAGGCATTTAATATAGCTGGTACACAAAACTTTTTGTTACTAGTATCAAAAGAAGTTTCAGATCTGAGATATTTAATAGGAATTTTGATTCCTTCACGTGTTGAATAACCTAAATAATATTTAATGTTAGGTATAAATGGCAAATATTGGAATTCGTTGGAGGATTGGTTGGAATATAGGAATTCGTTGAAAAAATCTGTAAGCACAACTAAATTATCACGATTATTAAATAATTAAACTCCCAAGAATAACTGGAATTTCCTAAATACATTCCGGAAATTCTACAGAGTGCCTAAAATGTTTGCTACTTTAATTCGTTGTTACTATTACATTTTGCAAAGATAAAATCTACGAAGATTTTTAATTAAACAAAATGATAAAATTAATAAGATAATGAAGAGATTAAAGTACGTAATTTGTAACAAAATTACGTACCTTAATTTTTACGGCATTTGTGACTGAAAAAAGCGTTTTTTTTTTCTTTATTTTTTTGTAATTATTTAAAAAAAATAGAGATTTATTGCTTTAAATCTTCTTTTTTTTAAAGTCAGAAATTAATTAATCAATAAAAAATTTCCCTCAGTGACGATAAAACGAAATAAATAAATTATTTGAACTCATAAAAGCACAGCACAGAAAAGCAATTTCAAAACATGCACACTTTTATTTTAAGAAGCCTATTATCAAATTGCTTTGGGTCAAAAAAATGTCAAGTCAAGAAATTTTTGCCCTATCTGGAGATTTATTTATCAAAAATTCTGCTGGAAATTCGTTTTAAGGCGTGTTCAAGGCTTCTTTATCTACATATATCATGATTTTTTATATTTTTTAAAAAATATAAGGCTCTGATGGCACCAGCAAACACATAAAAATTAAAACGCAAAAGCAACGCATTTATTTCAAAGTTACATTACTTTTTCT